TGTCTAGTTCGAGGTCCCCAAAAGCTCTGAATCACCCCTTCAGAAAAAGCAGGGAAGGTGGGCGAGTCTTTGATTGCTACTGCCCCAAATGAGTCACTTGGGGCATTCTCTTCGGTTATAAGAGATTCGGGGAGAGCCGCTTCAGACATATCCCCCATCCGTTGGCTTCTATGGGAAGCATCCTCGATCTCCAATGACTCGGGGACTCTGCCCGAATCTTTCTCCAATATATACTTAGTTCGAGGCAGAGCTTTATAAACCACCATCGATCCAGCTGCCTGTAAAACGTTGGTGGTCTTCTTCGATCGGGCCACCAGTACGGACCCATCGTCTTCCTCTTCCTCATCTTCATCCCTTATATGCTGAACCGATTCTAAGGTCAAAGGGATGGTATTCTTCCTCGACTTACGAGTCGACCTTGCCTTCGGTTTTGGATTTTCGGAAGTTGAGGCCCTTTTTCTCTTATTTCCCTCAGCCGGTGTAGAACCCGGGTCTGAGGCTTCTTCCTCGCCGGGGAGGGGCCTCAAAACCGCATCTCTGCCCAGGCCTGCACACAATAAAATCGGTTGAATATATGGAAAATATTTCGTTTGAACTCTCAAAACATGAGAAATAGGCTTACTATGATTCTTGGCCTCACATCGGCCCTTTGCCAAATCACGCCATGAACGTTTGGCGTATGTGGAGGTCGAAGCTAGGGCCCGTACCTAGCTCTTAAGATCGGGAATGACACCGGGCATCTAAGGAACCGCTGCATCACAAAAGAGATATCAGCAAGAAAGAAAAAAATAGACATGGCGATATGGAATAAATAACAGAATTACACTTACGCTTCATATTCCATTCTTCCAGGAATGGCATCTTTTTGGCTGGGATCAGGTCTGAAGTCTTCATTCGAACGAACCTGCCCATCTAACCTCGATCCTTATCCTCATCTATGCTCGAGAACAGTACCTTGGTAGCCCGACGTTGAAGTTTTATTAATCCACCTCGAAAGAGGCGGGGACTATACAATCTAATAAGATGATCGAGGGTTAAAGGCATCCCCTCAATCTTGTTTGCAAAGAAACAGATCAGGATAACGATCCGCCAAAAGGAAGGATGAATCTAACCTAGAGTTATTCGGTATTGGTGATAAAAATCGATGATAACAGGGTCAAGAGGCCCTAACGTAAAAGGGTAAGCATACACACTAAGGAACCCTTCCACGTGGGTGGTAATATCTTCATCGGGAGCCGGAATTACCACTTCCTTGTTATCCCAGTTTCCATCTGTCTTTAACTGAGCAAGTTGCTTGTTGGTTATCGAGCACAAATACCTCGATACCGGCTCACACCGACCGGGAACCAACGAGCCCGTATCAACCTTAAAATCAGAGGTGAGAAGACATGTTCCGGGAACACACTCCTCGGGCTATGGCTCCATCAGTGTTTTATACGCGGCTGGCCGTGAAGAAGAAGCCTCTTCTTTTTGAGGGACGGTTTTTGATGTTTTCACCATTTTTTGAATTTAGAAGAAAGGAATAAAGAAGATGCGGTGTTTCAAAGAAAGATTTTGCAGTAAAAACTACAGAAAGAAAATTTTGCACTTAATTCAGAAGGTATTTGAGAATGCTTAGGAAATTTTGAGATTAGAAGATATAAAAGTGATTAATGATGAAAGAGGGGATATTTATAGGCTGAACAGTGGCGGTCCAATAACAGTAATGGCCGACCACCGTCTGACATGCATTAAATACCTCGGTAAACTAAACCGATGAGACATCTATCGTATATGTCACGATCGGATTCGATACACACGTCAGTATATATCTAATCATACCATTGGAAAAATCATATCGTTTCTCGTTACATTCTTCCCGAGAAATGCGGGGACTATTTGTATACAGTCAAAACCGATTAGTCCGTCATACGGACTGGTCAGTATGATAATACTTTGATCGAGGGGTAGCTTCGTAATACCAGATCGAGGTCCGAACTCAGATCATCAAGCTTCAAGTTCTAGGACCGATCAATACAAGCTAGGTATCATTATCGAGCTCGTATCCAAATTGAACTACGGGCGCGGCAAAATTATCGACCTTAAGATGTATAGACCGACCGACACCGACCCCGAATCAGTATGAGACTCCGAGTCAGAATCGAGCTCGAGTCAAGATCGAGAGCTCGAGTCAATATCGAGTTTACCGACAAGAGTCGTTGCAACCGCACTAGGAAAGAGAATCTTGGCGGGAATTAGGGAAAAGCTAGTTCCTCATAGGTTCCCCACTATATATTTTTTATTATATCTAAAGTAGGATCCCCCACTATAAAGGGGGATAATTGTTGTTTCTGTAAAACATCCATACATGGTAACAAAAGATTATCCCTTATATTGAAAGATCAATCCTTTGAGCTCTCTTACTTCATTTCCTCTTTTTAACAGTTTTTATCTTTCGTTTTTATAGTCAAGATTGGATATTTCTATTTCTCTTTACAATTTGTATCAAGCTATACCACATACCCTAAAATTACGTATAAATTCAACTCTATCTGATTTTTCGGGTAAACAAGTTTGAAGACAAGATAGAAACTCAATACTGCAATACTATACGATTCTAATTGAAATATTGAATATGCCGGCCTAGCTGGGAAGTTCATAGATAGACCCTAATTTAATGCCAATTGAGTTCGGTGCATTAACTTCGGAATTTAATAGCCTAAGGGGAGGTTGTAGTTATTACTTCCTCCGGTTCAGTTTAATTAATTTTTTAATTTTTTTATGGTCCATAATATTTGAATTTTTCAGATATAAAGAAGGAATTAACTTCTTTTTCCAAAGTTACCCTTCGAGTAAAGAACTTAGGAGTATTTGTTGTATTTTCAATGAACAAATTAAGGTTAATATGATCAATTTTTTGTTAATCAATATTAAAAGGTGGGTTCATTAATATGTGTGAAAACAAACCGAAAAATCAAGTAAAGTGGATCAAAGGGAGTTTTCAGTTTAATTAATCCTTTCGGTGCACTTTAATTGATTTTTTGGCTTTTTTTTCATGGTCCACAATATTTGATTTTTTCAAATATCAAGAAGAAATAAATTTCTTTTCCCCAACTTTCTTCAAGTTAATTACATTATATCTATATTATATTAAAAGTAGGAACCCCTTAATCTAAAAGTTAAATTACTTTTTTACCCTTCTAATTAAAAACCCAAAATACCTTAATTAAAAAAATGTGCCAACAAACAAACCACCAAATTAACGTTTGGTACTCCTCGCTAAAAATCACATCCCTTCATTCAAAACTTATCTTCAAATTCGATATTATTATCTATGAATAAAGTAAATTGTATCTTGTACCGAGAAGAATAAGTGAAGAGAGATTAATAGATAATCATTATGAATTATTTCTCTTTTCACCATAAAAGCCTTTAGAATAATAAAATGATCCATGGCTTTCACTGGTGCAACAAATTGAAATTCTCATCTGCTTTTCCATTGGCAAGATCATCATTGCCACATGGCCAACACACGAAGGAAGAACAAGAGTTTTTCTCATAAGTATGTGAAATGATTCAAATCGAAGGGATGCGCCTCTTCAGAAAATTAGAAGGTTTTTCCCTGCAAGACATGACTTTGACTACAGGAATGACCATAGCATTAAAGCAACAAATCAAAAAGAAACTGGTGAAATTCAGGTTTTATTTTCTTAAACTCACTCCTCTATACAATTTAATTTCCTAACATTGTGATTTTGGAAACATTAAATACATATTTGTTGTATTAAGGAAAGACATATTAGTTAATAGTATAATTAACTTATTCTATTGCTAAGTTAAAACTCATCAATTAACTTATACTATGGTATATTCATAAATTATTTGAAAGTTTACTTTCAAGTTAAAGGATGATACAGAGTGAAATGTCTTTTTTGGAAGATCATGTCCAAACTTGAAAATTTAAGATCATGATAATAAATTATATTTGTATTTAAACATTACAACTTTTCATCATACATATTGTATGTGGATTTCAACTCATTTAGTACACATGATTCTAGAAATACAATCAATATTATTTAATCATATTATTATTTTTGTAATTAAATTGACATATACTAAATAAAAAATAAAGATAATTTTATAACTAAATATAAAGATTCATGTTTCCAGATAGAGTTTACATATTAGTAAAGTGAAGTCACTTATTGGAGAAGAAGGGAGCAGGATAAAAAAGAGATAATAGTTACAAATAAAATGTATGTTAAAATTACACAAGTTTTCATGAAAAAAGTTCATTTAATGTACTATACAGATAAGTTAATATAATTTTAAATATATAGGTATATGATCATATAGATATACTTTATGGGGAGACGATGTTGCTGAAAATGACAATAAAAATTTTGAAAATTTTGAAAGATGATAAACAATCATAGAGCTTTTCTGACGTTAGAATCTCAATTTACAAAGATATTATGCCAACAATCTTATGTACACAAACATCTTACTTTATGGAGTGAATTTTTACTACTAAATTTCTTTATTTCTTCTTTAACTAGGAAATTTGTCAACAAAAGAGATAGTCATAATAATGAAAAAGCAATCTAAATAGATGACAAAAATACACACCATGAACATCATCTATTAAAAAAAAGGAGATATGCTTATCTCATAAAATTAAAATAAGTAAAAGAAAAACATTATCTAATTAATTTTGATTATTCTTTTTCGTAAACTCAGAAGATATCCAACAAGTAGTCACCATACGATTCATATTGATCATTCACAAAAAAAAAAAATTTACTTTATTTTTTTTATTTATAATACTTACTCAAAGCTTTGGTTTACTATAATCGATACTATTATAAAATCATAGATTACATGGCTCGACATACACGTGCATGCCGAGAAACTATAGTATCAATATAAACATAGACTGAAGTATAAAAACTCTTTCCATTTCCTATTTTCCCTCTATGTAAAGGAGCAACAGAAATTAAATGGAGGGACTAGGAAGCTATTTAAAAGCTTGCAGCTCAACTGATACAACAGACAATCTTTCGTAACTTGAAAAGCAACAACAGCTGCGTCTCAATTCCAAGCAAACTTAGGCTGGTTATATGAATCCACACTTATCATATCGCTACACTTTACTCTCAATCTTTGGTAACTAGAATACTTCTTTTATTAAACATGAGATGCTTAGCCTTCTCTTGAACAGGGTATACTCAGGTCTGGTGCCGGGTTGATAAATTTGCAGTTTGGACATGATGTTGAAGATTTGCACATCATCACCAACATATGACACTTGTTGCAAACTGCAGTGAACATCTCTTGTTGATCACCATCAAACGTCAACCACGACAGAGAACGAGCGATACCACTCCTTTTGATCTCGGTATCACCACCGGAGTAACTTGAATTGCTAACAGAATTACGTTTAGTGAAGTTGTCAACCACTGATGATCCACATGGTAAATTCAGTTGAAGGTCTAAACTCATATGATCTGGACTTTGTGGCTCAGGACTCATTCTAGGATTTCTTGATGTTCTCTTTTGTGTTCTTGTGTTATAGAAGTATATATCTCCAGACTGCAGTTCAACCAGAGTAAAGGAAAACAAGGTTACTCCTGTCACCCAGAGCCGGATCCAAAACAGTTTTATATATCACGTCACGTAAAAGACAATTACGGATAACTAATACTCCTATAACAAACATCAAATTGATAACTAGCAAAATATGATAAATAACCTGTTATATATCAGATAAAAGCACATCGGTATAGTGTAAATTTTTAACACTGTCAATGTATATAAGTTAAACGCATATTGCTTACCTTAATATCAAGGCACTGTTGCCACTCCAAAGGCAGAGGCCTTTCATGCTGAAACTCGGTGCCAAATAGAGATATCACTTGCTGTGGCTTTTCAGAGATTTCTTCTGCTTTGATTTCTCCCCACTTTCTCTTCTTAGGCAAATCTTGTGATATAGTAGTTTGAAGGGAGACCATGACTGATGAATTGGACAATGATCAAAATCTGTTGCTTCTTTTGTTTTCTTTTATGGCCAAGTCTCTTTGTGAGAATCAAAACGGTGAACTTATTATAGCTGTTTATATAGGGGTCAAGGGGAAGCTGTAGATTGAGGCAAAATTGCAATATAAAATCTTAAATGGCAAAAACATTAAAGGTTGCTGAATTGAAGTTGCGCTTTGCAATTACTAGACACCTCCAACCAGCAAATTTAAAGCGCATAACTCCAAATTTCAGAGAAACAGTCACCAAAGAACAATAATAAGTCTAAAGATTTAAACAACCTTTGTGGCTCAGTGACATCGAAGCGCTGAGTAACAAGAATGCTTTTAATAGCTCACAACTGCCTTCAACTATTTTTAAACTACCAACAAATTTTATGAGCTATTAAATTTATTTGCTTGACTTGTCAGTGCAAAGGGAAATTAATTCATCACTCCAACTTCATTTTTCTTTTCAATTTCTCTCTCTCTCTCTCTCTCTCTCTCTCTCTCTCTCTCTCTCTCTCTCTCTCTCTCTCTCTCTCTCTCTCTTGTGTATGTGTGATCCCATTATTTACCGTACAAACAATTTTTGGTGTACTTCGGGCAGTGTTGTCCGGGTATAAATATGATAAAAAATTATATTTGTGAAAGAATTCAAGCATACAATACAAAACTTTGAAACCAATGAGTGTCGCAAGTTAATAATTCGATGCGCTGAATTGAAAGAGAGAGCACAAAGGGCCTCGCAACCCTAAATAGGGTAGCCCCATCACCTTATAAATTCTGTTGGAAACCTTAACTAGTGTTCGCGCTACATGTATCTTGTGGGAAGAAATGAAAATCCAGCTCAATTACTTTAGCTTTGCTAGGTTAGCTTTGATACCAAATGAAAGAATATATTAGTATGCAATTCAAATTTTTAACGCAGTGAATGCAATGGTTCAGGATAGTGGTGGAAAAAATGGTAGAAAAATCAGTTATCCCTCCATATTATCCACTATAAAATAGGTTGATTAATGAACTTTTTAACAATTGATCAAATATGGATAAGATCCACACTATCTACTCAAAAATAATAACCAATGAGTTTAACTTTTATATTTACAAAGGCTCAAATCGAGGGTTACTCAAGTTTGTGGCTTGTATTCAATGAGTCACGGATAATGCGGATATACATATTATATGCGGGTTAACCCATTTGCCATCTGTACTAAATACGAGTTGGGTCGAATATTTTATCTATTTTTGTATTATCCGTCTTCTCCCACCCATATCCGATGCGACTTGCCCGTTTGCCACCCATAGTTCAGGACAATAGAGCTATTTGAAAACATTTACAGGACCAGTGTGGAACAAGTTATATTCTCAAACAATAAGTGGGACGGAGGGAATATACAAAAAAGTCGTAAGACAGAAATAATTGAAGGGAAACAAGGTAAATGTACAAGGGGCAAGGACTACAAAACTGGAAAGAATGAAAGAGAAATGTATAACTTTTGTAATTATGGCCAATATTTTGGCTAATGAAATTCATTTCACATAAGTATAAGCATCTTTGTAAAGTGTAGACTTTGTTGGCAATATTCTTTGAGACCCAAAAATATTGCATTGTGTGGTAGACATCATTTGCACAAGTTGTATCTCTTCTTTTACACCTAAGAGGCAATGACTTTTTTGCCTATAAAAGGGAAGGTCATTAGTTTATTTTATACACGCCAACAAGACTTTGTCTTCATTTCTTGTTTCTTCCTTTCCTCCTTTATTAAGAGTGTTTTGTATGAGAGTTAAGTGTTGGGAAGCACTTGTGTGAACCCTTTCTTTGGAGTGATCTTGTGAGGTTATTCTCTTAGAGTATTTGAGATTAATTAGAGTATTCAATTTAATTTTGTACTCTTATTCGTATAGTGAAATTGTTCCTCTCCGCTTGTGGACGTAGGTCATTTTGACCGAATCATGTTAAATTTTTATCTTCTTTATATGCTTTAATTGCCGTTATTATCAACTTCCATTGTCTTTGTTATTTTCATTATAACATTGTTTGGCTAAATTATGCACTACACGAGTTCCCGATCCTAACAAATTTGTATCAGAGACAGATCTAACCGGATTAGTTTCAATAGCCAAAATGACTCTAACAAAGACCTATGTTGAGAAATTTGACCGAAGTACAAATTTCGGAATGTGACAATTAAAGATAGAAGCTATCCTAATTTAGGATGGGGCATTGCAAGGAAAGGAGAAGAAGCCGGATAAAAGAGGAGTTTGCCATCATAGATAAAAAGGTAAAATCAGGTATCATCTTAAATCTCTCAAATGAGGTTTTACGTGAAGTTTCTGTAGAAACCACAGCCAAAAGCATGTGAAAAAAATTGAAAACCTTATATATGAAGAGGACGGTGGAAAATAGACTTTACCTGAAGCAGAAACTTTATACAATTCGTATGGGTGAATGTACCTCTATTCTCTCTCATCTTTACCTTTGATTACATTCTTATAGATTTGAGTAATATAGATGCTGAAATTAAAGATAAGGATCAAGTTGTGTTACTGCTTTGTTCTCTACCCCATCTTTTAAGCATAGAGATACTATGCTTTATGCAAAGGATAATATCTCTTATAAGGATATTAAATCTATCTTAAAATCAAAAGAACAGATAGATAATGATATTATTGGGGAAGCTAGTGGAACTCAAGCGGAAGTTGTCTTATTTGTTATGGGCAAATCCGACTCCATATCCAGATATAATAATTTAGAGTGTCGCTATTGTCATAAGAAAGGTCAAATTATCTCCGAATGCTATAAGCTGAAAAATAAATAAAAGCATAAGGAAAGAAAAAATGAGCACAAAAATACTGACACCGCCGAAGCTGGTGTAGCAACTGATGAGATTGAGGGAACTATATTTTTAGCAACTGAAACTAGTTTCAAATTAGACAATGAGTGAATTTTAGATTCCGGTTGTACATATCATATGTGTCCTAGTAGGGACTTGTTTTATACATATGATTCAGTTGCAGGTGGAGTTGTCCAACTGGGTAACAATGTTATTTGTAACGTTATTGGTAAAGGTACAATTCGGATCAGAATGCACGATGGTGTGGTGAGCATAGATCTGGTTCGTTGTATACTTTATTGGGCTCCACTGTTATAGGCCCTACTACAATTTTGGTATCAGACAACTTGTCTGATTTTGATGGCATTAAATTTTGACATATGCCCATTAAGGCTTTTGCGGAGAAGGTGGAGCAAATTTACTATATTAGCCAAAATTAGGCCAAGGTGGAGATTTGTAATTATGGCCAATATTTTGGCTAATGGAGTCCATCTCACTTAGGCATAATCATCTTTGTAAAGTGTAAACTTTGTTGGCAATATTCTTTGGGAGCCAAAAATATTGCATTGTGTGGTGGACATCATTTGCACAAGTTGTATCTCTTCTTTTACACCTAAGAGGCCATGACTTTTTTGCCTATAAAAGGAAAGGCCATTAATTTATTTTATACACAACAACAAGACTTGAGTCTTCATTTCTTGTTTCTTCCTTTCCTCCTTTATTAAGAGTGTTTTGTATGAGAGTTAAGTGTTGGGAAGCACTTGTGTGAACATTTTCTTTGGAGTGATCTTGTGAGGTTATTCTCTTAGGGTATTTGGGATTAATTAGAGTATTTACTCTAATTTTGTACTCTTATTCGTATAGTGAAATTGCCCTCTCCGCTTGTGGACGTAGATCATTTTAACCGAACCACGTTAAATTTGTGTCTTTTTTATATGCTTTAATTGTCGTTGTTATCAACTTCCATTGTCTTTGTTATTATCATTATAACATTGTTTGGTTAAATTCCGCACTACCCGAGTTCCCGATCCTAACTTCTTAATATTTCAATTTCTTATTTATGTTGATATGCTTCTTGATGTGTGACAGAAATGCCTTGGCTTTGAAGCAAAGAAGATCTCTAAATGACTTCACCATTTCCTCTGAGATTTTCTGGTGAGTTATATATTCTTGGACCTTCAGAAAGCTAAGTTGCTCATTAGTTGTTAATTCCTGTTATACTAAAATGTTATGTCACTCCAAGAACTATTCATCAACAATTCTGTATTGCATGCTAAATTCTGCATTCTGGTTGTACATGCTAATTGAATTGTCATTCTATTCTACACTATTTGTTTGGTACATAGCTCCTTTATCGCAGAATTAGACCTGCTATTAATGTCAACTTATCTATCAGTTTTGTGGGGTTTGCTGCTCAGTTGAATAACTGCTATTCAGCAAATTTGGAAATTGTTGGGCGACGGTAGATTAATGTTTTGTCATCACCATCCTCAAAATCAAGTCCATTCTCACTATAGACCACTTCATCAATCGTTGTTTTTTCATCAACATAACTCTCTTGAATTTCGATTGACTTAACTAGTGAATATTCTCCACTTACAGATGATGCATCCAATGCTAAGAGTTGCATCTCGGATTCAATCAAAGCTTCCATTTGAGCCCTCTCCTTATCCCTTGGATAGGTGCAATACAGAAAAGAGTAAATAACACAACATAGTGCCATTGGAGTTCCTATTGCAGTGAACAATGCCTTTGCCAAAGATGTTGCGTTTTCTCTGTCTGTAGCAATACTTTCAGCACCTTGAGCAACTGGTATATAACCATAAACATTCTGAGACAGTAGTCCAACAACAGGAGGAGCAAATGATGATAATACAGATTCAAAAGATCGGTCCAGAGCATAGACACTTGTTCGTGACTGCTCGGGTACTATCTCTGCAAAAATTGGACTGTTGGTGTCTCATTAGAACCCTCTGCAGTTTTTCATGATAAGTGCAACAAATAAACATACTTCTTTTTTAGTACAACAACAACAACAGCAACAAAAAACTCAGTGAAGTCCCACAAGTGAGGTGTGGGGAAGATAGTGTATACGCAGACTTTATCCCTACCTTTCGGAGGTAGCTAGAGAGACTGTTTCTGGTAGACTCTTGGCTCAAAAAGATGAAAAGCAACAATGGAAACAAGCAGTATCAACCATAACGGCCAGAAAGAAAGTAACATCAATTTATGGACCAGAAAAAAATAGGCGGAAGGAAGCAATAGCAATAAGCAGTAACAACGGTAAGATAGTAGGATCGAAAACAACATGTAATACTTCTTTTTAGTATGACCAGATAATATAAAGCACTAGTTGATCAGTTCATTGGCCTAAATATTAATCCATCCTAATGAAAATATGTTTCCTTTAGGTCTAATATTTTAAGTTTTAAAAAATTGAACCTAACTTCTAAAGCTACTAAACACTTCAAGAAGAGTAAAGGAGGTTATGAAATCCTAGATAAAGATCATTACTTGTTTGTAGCTGGTGCAGTCCATGATATGCAAAATCCTGACACAAAGAAGACCAAACCATGCAAAAACATTGAAGAAGGATCACCAGGCAAAGACAGCAGAAGAATTGCTGCAAGTGGGATAGCTGATCCTGAGCTTATTTGTGCCAAAATTATCCTGCCACTATTTGGTAGATGCTGCGATAAGATATCTCCCATCTTGCCTCCAAACAATCCCCCAATGGAATCACCAACAACAAACAAGCTAATAAGAAATGCAGTCTTCCCATGAGAAAATCCAGTAAGCTCTAACCACATTGGAGCGAAGGACAACGCTGACCAGGGAAATGAACCCATAACACCCTGAGCTACAATAATCTGAAAAGATGGAATCTTTACAACTGATTTTGCTTCTTGAAGTAGACCTTGTACTTCTGATATAAAGGATTTTCCGTGAACTTTATTAGCTTTCAAACTACCATCTGGGAAATGAGGATCATTTGCAAATACGCGAACTAGAATACCAACAAGGACACTGATTATACCAACAAGATGAAAAGAAAGTCTCCAACCAGGAATTCTCATAAATGTAATGGGCGCTATCAATAAGGAAACATATCCACCAACAAGTGAACCAATGTTGCTGGTAAATTGCAGCCATCCAAATGCCACTCCGCGATTGCTTTCATCGCTTGAGTCAGCTACTAGTGATTGAATAGCAGGTGCAACTATGGCTAGTCCAATCCCATTTAAAGCTCTTGATACTGCCACCTTAGCAACAAAAGGGGATGTAATTTCAGGTTGCCATTGTCCATTGATATATAGTGTGTCATAAATTGCTTAGTTTTCCTAGAATAATATGCATATACGTATATGGATCAATGCACCACACGTTTGGAGTAAGGGGTGTTACATAAGCAAAGCGACTAAATAGAGGTTATTATCCTGATCAAACAACGAATGTCATGTAATGAAATCACACTACGACCTACCCACATAATACTATTATCGGCGAAACATGCTTAATCAATTTAGTCACTTCTTGAATGACACTATTTATTAAAAATAAGAGATTTGTACTTCATATGTTCCATTTCATGCAACGGTATTTGACTGGACATATAAGTTATAAATGTTAATTTGACTTATGTAATTTATAATGATGATGAAAAAGAATATTCAAGTAATCGTTGAAAAGAAAGCAAACATTAGATCAAAGTTATGTGTGAATAAGGTCTAACATTCTGGAACGTCCCAAAATAGAATTTCATATAAATTAGAGCGGAGATATTGTAGTACATTACCTGAAAGAAAGTTGTGGAGAAAGCGACGAGAAATGTAGCTGCAGCCCAGAGAAAAGCGCCATAGGCGATAACATGGGCGCGGTTGTGGCGTGCTGCTAGATAGGCTGCTAGAGGATAGCACAGGGACTGGACCATGGACCGGAAAAGCGTGAGCGAACCCAAACCAGTTGGGTCCGTGTGGAGTGCATCTCCAACTTCTTTATAGACACCTGGTAACAAAGACTCATCTGCTTTTTCCATTATGCCTGCTAAATTTACTAGCACAAGAGTAAGTGTTTCGACCTTCATCTCCTTTTTTTTATTTTCCTTCAAAACTTTTGACATTCAAGAAAAACAAAACAAAACAATATTAAACAAAAAACGAAAGAAAATCAATTAGTTTTCTAGTCCAAACGCCATCAATAAACATGTTTGGACAAAAAAAAATTGTACAACTATTTACGAAAAGAAATCATTTTCTTTTTGAGTGACCATATAGCGGAGTCAGAAATTGGAGACTAGATTAAAAGGTAGTTGAAAAATGATGGTTGCGAAAAAGACAAGTCCCCATTGACTAGGGCAAACAAAGATTGCCACCATTTCAGCAAGCAATAGCGGATCCTAAGTCTTCTATTTTCCATTGATAAATTATTCCTACCATTCAGTTATACTTCAAAATGAAGTTGCCTAATTGAAACTTTTTATTTTGTAAATACTTATCAAACCTTTCCTGATGCGGAAATTTTTTTTAAAAGGAATAAGGTTGATGTAAACTAAAAGTACACTAAACTCCATAGAGAACCTGGTTTTCAATCAGTTCCCACAGAACACAGCAGTAAGTAAATAACACAACGATATCTACGTGAAAAACTCCCAGCTCACGGGATTAAAAACAACGAGCTACACTCGTAAGATTTCAACTTCACTAACTGAGCAACTTTAGATTACATCATATTATAACCTAGGAATTAAACTCTTAATCCCTCACTTACTTACAATAATTATATTACAAGCCTCTTTGTAATAACTCTATTACAAAGCTAACCACTTCACTAAATCTAGTCAAAACAAACACAAGGTTTATGGTTTTCAAAATATCCTACGAGATTCTTCTAAATAAGCTGAGTAGGAGTTAGAAATGAATTACATAAATAAAGACACAACAATAATAAGGACACACGATGTAATCAGTGTTAGGATATGGTCCTTCGTTATGTTGATATTTTGTTCTTCAATGCCTTTTAGAGAATGAAGGCGACTGCACACTTGAGAGTAAATATATTTTTAGGGATGCAAGTGTGTGCAATCCCTTGCCTCATGTTGGTAATATATAAGTGAGGTCATCAAAGATGATGCAAGGTAGTGTCCGGTACACAGCATGCTTCAACAGTACTGATGTACCGTTGCGTGTGCAGTGTAGCAACTTTAACAGTTGTAAGAGTTGACTTGTACTGTGACCGGAGGAACTGATATCTATCTGTTTCCTCTAATGTTCCCTTAAATGATTTCATTAAAACTTGTGCCAGATATTTGACTTGTTATTTTGAACGCGGAGAAGCTAGTTGTATCAGATTTTCTATCTGGTTCTCATATGAAGTTTGTTAAATCGTCAAAACAAAAGGCACATAACTTATCAATTTTTCCCTTTTTGATGATGAAAAACTTAGAATTGATATTCCCCTTGAGAATCAGGTCTCCATATTGCACCCC